CCTGAAGCCATGGGGTAAGGAAATCAGCGGGGACAAAGAGTGCCCACGGTAGCAACTTACCTTGTGCGGCCTCGGTCGCCTTTTTGAGGGCCAAGCCAAAAGGACGCCATGTCCCGAAGCTTAGGACGCCATTTACTTGGGACACCGAAGGCGTTTCATTCCTCTGCACTCGAGTGCCCTCAAAACACATACTCAAATGTGAATGTCTACCCCAGTTATTTCTGACCCCGGATAAACAAACACCTGGTTGACATGGGGGGGGGGGTCCTTTTTTTGAAGGTAACCTTCACTTTTTGGGGAACCCCAAGTTCATGAATCCGCCGAGTTCATTAATCCGGGGCCGAAGTTTTGAAGGGGCCGGTTGCCCATGAAAGCTCCAAATACCCTGCTTTATATTGTTCTATCTTTTTTTGAACAACCGGTTAGGTTTTCCACGGTGCTGTAAATACCAGCACCAAACCTTGTGGAAAATGGCATCTGGTTGCAAATGAAACGTATCTGCTGGAGGGTTGGTTGCACATCTGGAAGGTTGGCTGCAAAAAACGGATCTATTTGAGAACCTTTGGTGGACCATGGAGCTTCTCCAAACCTGTCGTTAAAACATCGGGTTACCCAAAGCCCTCTTTCCAATCAACATTTTTCGCCCGGAAGAAACAACCTCCCTACTTCAAATACCAACTTTTTTGAGTTTGTATTTTTTAAGGAACATCCGATCGGTTGAAACCAGGGTAAATACCGATCCATTTCTTTTTTTGGCAAAGGGTTTGTCAAATCATACCCTATAATACCAGCTCAAACAAGTGGGCATTGTGTGGTTATGGGGGCATGGCCGTTTATGGCCAGCCCATTTTTCCCGGGGTCCACATTTTTCCTCACCTGAGATTTACCTAATCATACCACCCAGACGCTCATGGGCCCTTCTAGGGAGGGTCTGACCCCTCTGAACGGGAGGCATGACAAACGACAACGAGCTGCTTGGATGCCAAAGCGGAGTGCGAAGCCTACCAGGCTTTCATGGGCTTGACCACTGCCAATGTGTAGCTTGAAGTGTTTGAGGTCAAAATCCAAATGCTAAATCGGCTACAACATATTGTTTCTGTCGTGCTGTTTGTGCTGCAATTGCTGCTTGTTCCTCACTTTGAAGGGCCACTCTGTCGCATAGGGCCATCAAAGGCTGGACATCTAAGGCGCCACAGGATGCGCTTCGGCGTGTCTCGCATACAGGAGCACTTCATGCGATAACTTTGCATGCTTCATGCCAGCACGATTTGGACATCGTGTCAATCGGGGCGCGATGGAAGGCGGCTGCCCGACGGACCGGTTGCCCGGTTGCGGGTAAAATGAGAGCGGCGTTTTGGGGGGGTCGGACCGATTTCAGGTCCGGTTGCTCTCGCCCAAAAGGTGGGACCCCTTTTTTTGGGACCCCTTTTTTTTCCTGTTTTTGTTTTTTCTTAGCCCTGCAAAGCTTGACATCGCTTGAAATGCAACCTGGAGCCAAATTGCAAGCATATCTAGGGGTCACTATTTTGCAGCCACACGCCTGCACGCAGCGTTTTAGGTTTCGAATCCTTCGCAGGACGAGGTCGTTTCCTGGACGGACGAGTGCTAGGAGCCTCCCAGGTGGAATAGAATCCATTTGGGAAACCCCCTCTAAAGAGAGAGCCGGTCGTCCAGCGACTGGATGGCGGCTGCGTTGTTGCCGGAGGCTGCCGTGTTTACCGCCAGGTCTGTTACTTGCGCGTAGGGCGTAGAGCCAGAGCCAGCTGCCCGGCGGTGACGTGCGTGCCGTCAGTTACCTCTCCGTTGTCCAGGACCTCCGGGATGTTGCCGGTGACAGGTCCTTCAAACATGTTTACATATGTTTCCCCGACGCCTTAGTCCAGCGGCTAAGGCGCCGGTCAAGGAGCGAGGCCGGCTCCGCGGCTTCGGTCTTGGAGCGAGGCCGGCTCCGCGGCTTCGGTCTTGGAGCCCGCACCAGGCCCGCACCAGGTCCGCACCAGGCCCGCACCAGGCCCGCACCAGGGTTTTTTTCGGAAGTATCGTGGCTACAATGATTTGACCGGCTCTTTCGGTCAAATCGCCGGTCACTTCGTGAAACATCCCCGCACCAGGCCCGCGCCAGGCCCGCACCAGGCCCGCACCAGGCCCGCACCAGGCCCCCCCCACCAGGTTTTTTTTTCGGAAGTATCGTGGTTTGACCGGTGGCGGTCAATCGCGGTACCTGCACACACGAAGTGACCGATGGCGCCGGTCAATCGCGGTACCTGCACGAAGTGACCGATGGCGCCGGTCACTTCATGGTCTCGGCTACCAGGACATGAAGTGAAGGAAAACATCCTTCACTTATGATACCTATAGCCTGATCATGGGACAAACAAAAGCGTGCTACAGTCCTCCCCCCCCAGGGAGGACTTTTTTTTCCTGGGTTCCGACCTCGGGTGGCTCGGCAGGCTGGAGGCTCCGATGCCGGGCAGGTGGCGCGGCCGGGTGGAGGCTTCTATGCCGGTAGGTGGCGCGGCAGGGTGGCTAAGCCGCCACCGTATGACCGTATGATCCGTATGATTCGTATGACTCGGGTGGCTCCGATGCCGGGCAGGGATGTGGCGCGCTCGGTATCGAAGCCTCCACGTTGGGCGAGCCAGTACTAAGGGTCGTTGGGCGAGCCAGTACTCAGAGTCGTTGGGCGAGTACTAAGGGTCGTTGGGCGAACCCGTCTCATTTCTCATTTGCGGACTTCAAGAGGTTCTATAGCCTCGTGCCGAAACGCGTGCAAGCCTTCGGGTCCTCACCTGGCCTGTCGATCTCCAACCCTGTTTGTAAGGCTGAAGCAAAAGAAAGAAACTCATCAAAAAATGAGCCGTGAAGGAGGCAGCAAAGCTTGCAAAGTGGTCCAGGGTGTTCCTTGAACAAGGTTCCAGGGAACAGCTGCGCAATTTGTCTGCGCACGGCACCCAGAAACCAGACAAACCCAAAGACCCGGTTAGCCTTAAAAATCTGCCCATGGCTCTGGATGCAGCATGCGCCGTCCGCGGCCTCTTTCATCTGTTGTTGTTGTCTTGCCCAACTTGCCATTATTTTTTTACGGATCCTGTTTTTTGTCCGGCCGCGCGCTCCCAGGGCATCTGCGCAGATGGTTGGGGAGAATAGCTTTTTAGACTGTTTTTGTCTATTCTCCGGGCACTGTGCAAGTTACGGGAAGAACAGCTTGTTTCACACGGTTTTTATGGCATGCATAATTTTCCTGATTTGCATGGTAGGTTTTTTTCATGTTGTTGCATGCTTGCTTGGCAAAGTTTTCTTTATTCCCTGTCAGGCTGTCGTGCGTGGCAAAGAAGCGCGGTCTGGCGCTGGAGAAGTCTTTAAGAGGCGTGTAGAAAGGCTGGAAGCCGAGCATGCGCAGTGCCGGGCAGGTCAAACGCCGAATAGACGTTTTTTTTCACCCGCCGCCCAGTCCACCGTTCCTTGCCTGTGAGCTTGCGTCCAAAACCGCAGTTGCGGCGCGCCGACCGGTGGCCACTTCGGTTCGCAAATTCGCAGCCTGTGCAAGAGAGGCAACCTGTTTCGTTTCGCCATGGCAAAATGAAGGTCGGCTTGCGTTGCTCGCTTTCTTTCACAGCCTTTTAAAGTTTGAGCCTTAGAACGCAGCTAAGAACGTCGTCGGTTGTTTGCACAAGCACGAAAGCGACGGGGCAGTGCCAGGAAGTGTGCTCTCCAGGAAGGGGGGCAAGTCAGCTTGGGTGTCCAGGAAGGGGGGCGAGTTAGCTTGGGTGTGTGAAGGGAAGAGTCAGCTTCCAATCTACCAGAGGAGTGCAGCGCGAAGTCAAATATTCTCTAGTAATGAAGACACGACTAGAGAAAAAATGAGTCAGCTTCTTCCGTTTGATGCTGGCTTGCCCAACCTCGTTTGACACAGTGTGCTGTGTCAGGAAAGGGGCTCTGTCAGGAAGTGTGCTCTGCCAGGAAGGAATTTTGTCAGGAAGAAATTCTGTCAGGAAGGAATTCTGCGAATTCTGCCAGGAAGGAATTCTGTTAGGAAGCGGGCTCTGCCAGGAAGGAATTTTGTCAGGAAGGAATTTTGTCAGGAAGGAATTCTGTCAGGAAGCGGGGGAACTTCACCACGGTGGGCGACGTGTCCACGGGCGCCCCGACGGCCTCCGGCGCAGCGACGGCGGCGAGCTTCGCCACCGAGAAGTCCAGGCGCGCTCCAGACGCCCTGCGCGGCCGTGCCGAGGAAGGTGCCGGTGACGCCCACGTAGTCGTTGTCGGCCGCGCTGACGTACATCACCAAGTTGGAGGCCGTGCCCAGCCGGCACCGGCAGCCGAAGGAGTAGCGTCTCCCCGGCGTCAGAGTGTAGGTGCGGACGATGTTCCAGGCGAAGGCGCTCAGGGTCATGGCGTAGCCCTCCAGCTGGACGCCTCCCACCGTGAAGCTAGCCAAGGCCACGGAGCTCTGGCTGTTGGAGCGCACCAAAAAATTTCCTAATGTGGTGAGCGTGGGCTGGCGCCCCAATATGGGGTCCAAAACTAGCAACCCAGAGAGGCTCACGATTTGGGTCAACGATTGTTTAACTTTGGTGCTCAGCTGGGGAACACCATTTTGGTTGTATGCACAAACCATGTTGGGCGCGTGTGGGGAGTGCGTTGCATTGGGCGTCTGCTGGATGTGTTTGAGCTGTGTTTTCAGTGAAGCGAGCCACGCACAGGCGAGCTTCTGAAAAGCCCTGCCTTTTGTAGCGAGCTGTTGCAGCCCTGCTTGAGTTTGGCGTCTCGCATTGCTTGCATCGGGTTGAGTTGGTAATCGTTTGCAATCGAATTTGGAGTGTCGAATCAATCGCTACGGTCGGCCATTGGACCGACATCACGTTCTGGAAAGGGTTCATGTACTTGACATGAACCAATGCAGGGCGTTGTGAGCGCTCGCTGTGTGCATTTTGAAGCAGGGCCTTGCCACAGAGGCTCGCTCTCAGTGACCCTTCACCTTTGTGTATCCGTGTGCCGCCATGCAGAGCTGGCAGTTTAAGACCGACCTGTCAGAGGACGAGGCCAACTGGGAGAGCCAGACGCTGTCCGACTGGCTGCTGCTTGGGCACACAGCCTCGCGGCGGTGCAGCCAAGCCGTCGTGGGGGAGAAGTTCTATCTCACCACGTCCCCCTGCGTGGCCTTCAAGTGGCAGGTGATGAGCGTGGACGACAGTGGCGTCATCCTGAAGCGTCCCAGCAAGACCGGCAATGAGATCTTCATGATGACCGTGCCGGTGCAGAAGATGAGCATGAGGCTGTCTTGCCACGAGACCAATGCGGGCATCCATGTCTCCGCAGTTGGCCTCGACCCATATGGCGACTGCCGCTTTGAGAGCACGTTTATCAGGCCCATCGCCGTCTCGACTCTGCTGGTGCACATTCTGAGTGACATGACGGGAAAGCCTGATTGGTGGACCGACCAGGACGAGATCATCTGCTTGGATTCTAATTGTGTGCAGACACGTTCAAGCATGACAATTGAGCAGTTGGCAAGGGCCAAAGAGCCGGCCATGAAAAGGCCTGCAAAAGCGCCACCAAAGGTTGTGCAGTCCATTCTGAAGCGCCCGGCCAGCAGGCGCTAGGCTCAGCGGCTGCGCCCACGTGGATACATATAGGGGCCCCAAATGTTCCGAAGTGTGAGTGTCATTCCTGACGACCCATTGACTCATTCGGCAGCAAGGTCAGGCGTCGGCCGCTGGGGCAGTTGAGACAAGAGCTGCAATGTTTTTTTTGATAGCGCAAGGAAAAGCGTGCCACACGCACATCGTGCTTCAGCTTGTTCATGACACACTTTACGTGAGTTCATGCAGTCTTAGCGTTGTGCCCGAAGTCTGGCGCCTGACCTGGTCAGGGAGATGCTGGACGCGGAGCTCCAGGCCGAACTGTCATCTTGTCGTTGCTTGCTTCTATAGAATAGGGCTGAGCGTCGCCTGCCGCACAAGTGTGCTTGCGCAGAACAATCAGCTCAGGCTCAGGCATTGGCGTTTGGGCCCAAGTGAGGAACTCATGGATGTGGATGAGGCTGTTAAGGGCCTCAAGGCCGCCACGGCCTACCTTGATAGGACACGGGGCCTGCTTTCGAATGACAATTTCAAAGATGTGGCAACTCAGCAAGCCAAACAGTGGCGACAGCGGATCGCCCGCATGAACTTGTCCAAAGTTGAAGATGCGGGGCGTCTTCTCGAAGAGGTCTCTGCTGGCAGTTGGCCAGAGGATATGAAACAAGAGCTCTTGCAAGCAGTCGCAAAGCGGGGCGGTGAAGGGTCCAAGGAGCCTCTGCCCATGAGGCAGCGCCAGAATATGAAAATTTTTGGTGCCTACATGACCACTTCGGACATGGACCAGCTCCGCCAGGGGACAGGTGCGCTCAGCAAGCTGGATGTTCTAGCATCTCGCATGTATAAGATCGGGCTGCATCTGCCATCCGAGCCAACCAGTGGCCATGTGCTATCGCTGCTCGCCTATCCATGGTCATGTTGTGCGTTGTTTTTTTCTCTCTCTTGGCTTTGTTAAAGAAACCTAGCCTTGGCGCCGACGGCGTGCCAGGGTGGGGCAAGCCTGTGGTGTGGAGATCCAGAACGCGCAGCACGGAAACGACATGCTGCGAGACCTCAAAAGGGGCTTGAAGACCAAGGTCAGGAAGGTGGAGCGCGATGAGGACGCTGTGCACGTCCTTGACTTCCCGGCGTTGCCGCAAGGTCTCCAAGACACCCTCGGGTCGCCCGCCTATGAGACTTGGTGGCAGAACGCGTACGGTGAGCGGCTTCAGCGGGCAGCATTTCCCCCACACAGTCGCGCTGCGAAAGAGCTCCCGACTTCTGAGCCCAGCCCAAGCCCCTTCCTCTGCCCATGCTTCTTCCAGCTCGAGCGGCAGCAGCTTGACAATGTTGGACTGCATGCAAGCATTGTGCCACAGCAGCCAAGATGGTTTCAGATGCTGGCTTGCTTGGCGCAGCTAGGGCAAGGAATGGCTTCTGCAAATTCACCGCAGCAAGCAGTTCCATTGCAAGGGCTGCAGATCTTCGATGATCCTCGGAAGAAGGCAATTGCTGCGCCGCCGACAAATACACCCGCTGCTGCCAGCAGCCCCAGCGGAAAAGACGGAACCCCCACCAAAGAGGAGAGCCAGAGCCAGGCAAATAGTCCACCTTCTGAGAAGAAGGATTCCCAGTCGCCCAGCAAATTGTTGGCGCTGCCGGATGTGCCTGTCGTCAGTCCTGAGGAGCAGGCCAAGGTCATGATGGAGGCCTTGCAGGAAAGAGAGAAGGCCAAGCCAAAGCCCAAAGCAAAGGGCAAGGCTGCAGCCAAGTCCACGGCCAAGGCCAAAGCAACGGCCAAGGCCAAGGCAAAGGCCACGGCAAGTGCTGATGAGGGCAAGGTGCAGGCCAGTGAACAGGCCGCAGAAGACACCGAAGATCAGCAGCCGCCTGCAGCGGCCAAGGGCAAGGCAAAGGCCAAGCCAAAGGCAAAGCCGAAGGCCAAGGCGACACCCAAGTCTCTGCGCCTCATCCACTTGGGCAAAGGCCCCCAACGCCGGAAGAACCAGTGGGGACTACATGGTATGGCCCCGGCAGGATCAATCGCAATGGTGGCCACTTGAGGACCCTGCCGCGTCCTTTGCTAAGGCATTGAGCTTGATTGAGCAAGGGCGCTAGTCTGGCTCTGGGGCATTGGTGTTCTATTGATTTTGTTTGACGCTGACAGTGTTGCAAAGTGTTACAAATTTGTTTCAGCAAGCCCCAGCCAGTGATCGATGGCTCGCCATGAAGTTGCAGGGCCTGCACGCAGGGCCTCAGTCACAGGCTCGCGATTTTGCAGTGTTTGCCATTGGTTCAATATTTGATTCGGCGCCGCAAGCGGCGTGAGCGTGAGGGGAAATTGGACCCTGCGTAGATCCGTTCCCAAGGGCAAGCTTCCCCAATGTGCCCCCTTTTCTCAAGTCAGTGTTTTCGGGCGCAACTGAGAGGCTTCAGTGTGAACCCAATCCTGGTGAAAGCAAGCCCTGATCAAATGTGGCCCTGCTTCTGGCGCGAGCTGTTGCAGCCCCTGCAGCCTTGATGCCACTGCGTTGTTTTTGCATTCAGCTTGAAGAAGGGGCAACCGGCTGCTGGAAAGCTTGCTCCCACGGACAACATTGTCCACACCCACGTTTTTTGAATTGCGCCTGAAAAGAGCGCAGCCATGAACAGTTGAGCAGAGAGCTGAACGAAGGTCCTGGAATGATGCGCTGCAAGAGACACGTTTCGGCTTTTGAATCACTTAGGGTTTAGGGTGGTTGTGAAGCTGAGTGCCCGCTCACGCAGGTGTATCCTGCAAATGCCCTTCCATGCAGGCCGGGCTTGTTGAATGTCTGGCAAGCTCATGCGCATCGGCGCTCGCATGCTGTTGTGATCTGGACCCACTGCATGGGTTTGGGCAGTCATGTTCATGCTGCGCCAAAAATGCGGCTGGTTGCGCCTGGCTCGTGAAAGCGCACAGAAGATGCAGTTGACGGTTCCGCATGGAAGCACAGAATCAAATTGCCCGCCGCAAGTCTGGTGCATGTGCAATATAGGCAAAACAACAAGCAGTGTCACTGCGGGCTTTTTAGGCTTGCAGATCGGTGTGCGCAGGGCATTTGTTGCTCGCCCTTTCATGCAGTGCTCGTGAGCACGCAAATTTTAGCAAACCTGCGGCATGGCAGCGGCTTCCTCTTCGGGGCGACAGGTGTACATCTCGGCCGGCCGGCACAGCTACGTGACGCAATCTGCAATGGTGGCAGTCCTCAAGGCGGTGCGCGACCACGGCCTCCCAGAGCGCATTAGCCGACAAACCTTGAAGAGAACACGGCAGCAAGAGTTGCCGAAGGACACTGCCCTAGGAGACCTTTGGCGAACCATCGAGTTAGAGCTTCAAGACGGGAGCAGTCTCAGTCTGCCCGTGGTGAGCCCTCTGCCACTCTTGCAAGTGTGCGTGAGCCGCAGCCCTCAGTTTGGTCAATTCCTGGCAGAGAAGCTGGGCGCAAACGACAATGAGAAGGACCCTCAGCTCCAGGTCCTTTTGTACTGCGATGAGGTTGTGCCTGGCAATGTCCTGAAAGGCAATAACCAGCGAAAACTGGTTAGCTTTTATTGGTCCGTGGGTCAATACGGCGCATCCATCTCCAGGGAGGACCTTTGGATGCACATCTGCGCTGTGCGCTCAAGCCGCCTCAAGGACGTCAAGAGCACATACTCGCAGGTATTCAAAAAATCGCCTCCTTGTTCTTTGACGATCCTTTTGACTTACGCAAGGGTGTCATGCTGACCTTTCCAGGCGAGCGACGCCGCATGGTCTTCGGACGCATTACCATGGTTGTCGCCGACGAGGTGGCTTTGAAGCAAATGTGGTCAGTCAAAGGCTCGAGCGGGACCATGCTCTGCTTCAGGTGCCGCAACCTTGTTGCGTGGAGCTCGAGGCTTGACGAGTACGGGCCAAATTTGGTCCCGAGTTGCCAGACCAATTTGGAGAACGTCATCCCCCACACTGACCGATCGATCCTCGACAACGCTCAGTACTTGCGCCAGCAAAAGCCTATGGTGAACAAAACAACATTCGAAAAATTGGAGCAGTCCCTGGGCCTTTCCTTTGCGCCTGACGGCGCCTTGTGGGACCAGGAATTTTGCAGGTACCTTCAAGGAGGCCCCATCTCAGTGACTTGCTTCGACTGGATGCCCATTTTCCTAGTGTCTGGCCTCTGGAACTCGGAGTGCGGGCATCTGCTCGCTGGCAAGAAGTCATCATGTCATGTCATGTCTTTTGTTTTTTTTTCCCCCGTGTGCTTGTGCCACATTTCTTTGCCACACTGCGCGCGACGTGCCTGATAAAGAGTCGCGTTTCTGGCCACGTAAGGTGCGATGAACTCCACAGGTCTTGCAAGATCACTTCGGAGATGATTCACGCATACGTTGCTGATGTGAAGTTTCCCAGTAAAATCGTGTCCAAGGGGGGCAGCGGCGCGCAAGTCTTCCGGGGCCGCGCTCCTGGCTCCGGTGAAATCAAGGCTTCAGCCAGCGAGGGCCTGAATTTGTACACTGTCCTCAGGGCTTTGCTCGCAGACATGGTGCCGCACCCTCACGGTCACCTTGCCAAGTGCGCCCTGTTTAGTGCATACATATATATATACACACAGTCAGTTTGAATCCATGCGTATATGGAAAAGCCGTGTCCACATTTTTCTTGCGCAAAAGCATGCGTACTGTAGGCGAGGGTCAGGTTGCTTCTGGCTTCTGCCCGCATCAGGTGATGTCATATAACGCCCTGGCTGCGGTGCTTGACTTGCTTGTCGAAACACGGAGCAGGCCGGTGTGCCCTGACGCCCTTCAGGCTGCAGTGCAATCGCACTTGCATCACCGCCTGGCAGCGTACGGAGCAGCAGCCTTCCCCCCAAAGGCGCACTACAGCCACCACCTTGCAGACCAATTGCGCCGCCATGGTGCTTTGGTTTCATTGTGGACGCATGAGCGAAAACATAAAGAGCTGAAGAAGTGGGCAAATCAATCCCACAACGCCAGCAAAGGCTCAAGTTGGGAGCGAGGCCTCCTGGAAGAGGTGGTGCTTCAACAGGCGCTGGCCCTTGAGGAGTGGCATGGCAGGGAGGGGACGTGCCTTTTGAGCCCCCACGCCGGCTCCCAAGATCTCCTTAGTTTCTTCCAGGCAAGGGGGATCTTTGTAAATTCTTGCGAAGCATCTTTGCGTGCTCTTGTCAAAGGCGAGCCAGTCTCCAAGGAGACGTGGTCTCATTTCAAGTCAACGCAGAGCTCGCAGTAGGCCAGGTTTGGTTTCATGCTCAAGCAGGGCCGAATCTTTTCACATGTCTGTCGGGCTGGCGCCCAGAAGGCCGCCATGTGTTCGACATGAACGACGATCCATGTTGGGTCGAAACAGGATCCATTGTGGAGTCGAAAGCCTATAAAGTTGTACACGGCCGAAAGGCGATGGTCATGGCCTGAAAATATGTTGCGTGGCTCGCTTTGCCTGCGTGTGTGTGGCACGTGCGCGCACGCATGTGCTTGTGACGTTAACAAGATTTGGCGCCCCTTTTGGATGCATTCAACTTGCTGGCGTCAGGCAATTCCGCGGGCCCGTGGATCATGAGGCTCGCTTCCGCACGCGCGGGCGCAGGGCCAATTGTCGCGTGTGGACAAGCTCGCGCGCTGCAGGGCCATTTTCACGGCTCGCTTATATAAGCTTGAGTGGCAGTATTTTTTGGTGCCTGTGGTTTTTCGCAGGTAATAGCGTGGAGCTTTTTGCGTTTCTGCGCTCCGCGCCGTAGCAAAATGTTTGCTTCTCCGGCCGCAACATTAAGGAGTTTAGCGCATTTAGCCGAGTTAATAAACTGACCCGTAAATTGAACGTAACTTTGCTAAACTCAACGTTGGTAACTGCGCTAACCGAGTTTAGCCAAACCAAACAAACAGTTTTTAGTTGGCATAAACACATATCATGTAAGACAAACACTTGCAAACACACACGGGCATCCAAGTAGGCCAGCAGCGCGCCTGCAATGGCGGCCTGCGTCTGCGTGTCCTGCGCGCTTGCCGTGCGGTAGTCTCCCAACGGCGCGTCCACTTGCGCCAAGGTGTAGTAGGCCAGCAGCGCGGCCGAGATGGCGCCGGTCGTCTCCGCGTCCTGCGCGGTTCCTGTTCGGTAGTCTCCCAACAGGGCGTCCACTTGTGAGGAGGTGTAGTAGGCCAGCAGCGCAGCCGCGAGGGCCGCGTCTGCTGCTGCGATGGAGTAGCAGTCTGCCGTGATGCTCAGCGTGTCGTCGCCGTTGGCCAGCGCAGCAGAGAGAGGAGCCTCCAGATGCAGGTTGCGAACGACGTTGCTTCCGCGAACGAGCTCCCAAGTAGTGAAGCCCGCCCAGGCCGGCGCGTTAACAACTCCGCCGCTGCCGGAAAGCTGCAGGGCGGCGAGCTCCGCGAGGATTGCGTCGAGGGTGCTCTGGAGCGCGGTCTCGCTGGCTCGCGTCGGCCTTGGCGCCCTGGAGCGCCGTGATGCTGGCGTCACGGCTAGCAAGCTGCGCTGCGACGAAGGCCTCGGTGGCGAGACCCAGCAGGGCATTTGCTATCTTGGTGTCTACCTCCAGCGGCGTGTCCAACCCGTCCACCGTGGAGAGCAGGGCGGCCAGCGCGCTTGCGTCCGCCTTGCCGAGGAGGGCGGCGTCCAGGGCTGCCGTGGTGACTGCGCCCAAGAGGGCTGTCGCTATCTTAGAGTCCACCTCCGAGGAAGTGTCGACGGCCGACAGCGGGGCGTACGCGGTCAGGGCGCTGGCGTCCGCCTTGGAGGCCTGCAGCCCCGAGATGGGTGTCGACCTCCAGCGGCGTGATCCTTGCCGCTATGTCTAGGGAGTGCTGGTCCACCACCGTCTTGAGGCCGTAGTTGGCCGCCACCGTGGCCAGCGGGCGTTGTTGGCCGAGGCGATGGAGCCGTTCATGGCCGCCGTGGTGCTGTAGTTGGACAGCTTCAGGTCCACGCCGTCCGGGGTGCTCTTCGTTGCCACCACGGCCTCCAGCACGTCGAAGGCCGATTGGTCGGCCTTGTTGGAGAGACCCGTGGTCAGCAAGCTCTGCAGTGCTGCTGCCGTGCGCGGCCACCTGTCCGTCCGCGGTGGCCAGGGCCGCTGCCGTGGCCAGGGGCGCAAGTACCGGCGCCAGCGCGCTGCTGTCCAGCTTTGAGGTCAGCTCAGCGGTGACTCGGTCGTCCAGGGACTGGGTGGCTGCCGCGTTGTTGCCGGAGGCTGCCGTGTTCACCGTCAGTTACCTCTCCGTTGTCCAGGACCTCCGGGATGTTGCCCGTGACAGGTCCTTCAAACATGTTTACATATGTTTTCGCCGACGCCGTAGTCCAGTGGCTAAGGCGTCGGCCAAACTCCGGCCGTTAGAACTTCCGCAAGTATGTGAAGTGACCGGTGGCGCCGGTCACTTCGTGAAACATCCCGTGCTGAAAGCGAGACCGCACCAGGCCCGCACCAGGCCCGCGCCAGGGTTTTTTGGAAGTACCGTGGCTACAATGATTTGACCGGTGGCGCCGGTCAATCGCGGTACCTGCGCACGACGCTCGGGGACAAATCACCGAAATTTTCGGCAGTTCACCGAAAATTTCGCCTCGAGACCATCCTCGGGTGGCGCGGGCTTGGCAGGCTGGTGCGCTTGCCGCCACATAGCATGTGCTCGGCTACCAGGACATGAAGTGAAGGACAACATCCTTCACTTTGTGGTCCAGGTAGTGATACCTATAGCCTAATGCAGAAACTATGCACGGCGTACATATTTTCACCGGTCAAATAAAAGCGTGCTACAGTCCTCCCCCCCAGCGAGGACTCAGGGGAGGACTGGAATTTTTTCCTGGGAAGAATTCCGACCTTGGCGCAGGCTCGGCAGGGCTCCGATGCCGGGCAGGTGGCGCGGCAGGGTGGCGCAGTGCCAAGCCGTATGATCCGTATGACCCGTATGATCCGTATGATCCGTATGACTCGGCGGGCTGGCGTGGCTCCGACGCCGGGCAGGCATGTGGCGCGCTCGGTCCACGTTGGGCGAGCTAGTATCCTCGTGATTCGCATGACTCGGCGGGCTGGCGTGGCTCCGATGCCGGGCAGGGATGTGGCGCGCTCGGTATCGAAGCCTCCACGTTGGGCGAGCTAGTATCCTTGTGATTCGTATGACCCGGTCGCGGTGAAGACAGAGCACTCTCCTTTGCAGAACACTCTCCTTTGCAGAGCACTCTCCCTTGCAGAGCACTCTCCTTTGCAGAGCACGCTTCTTTGCAGAGCACTCTCCTTTGCAGAGCACCCTCCTTTGCAGAGCACGCTCCTTTGCAGGCACGCTCCTTTGCAGAGCACGCTTCTTCGCAGAGCACTCTCCTTTGCAGAGCACTCCTTTGCAGAGCACGCTCCTTTGCAGAGAACGCTCCTTTGCAGAGCACGCTTCTTTGCAGAGCACGCTCCTTTGCAGAGCACGCTCCTTTGCGGGGATGGAGTCAGCTTCGGACTAGTCAGCTTTGGTGAGTCAGCTTCGGCGCGGTGAAGACAAAGCACTCTCCTTTCAGAGCACGCTTCTTTGCAGAGCACTCTCCTTGCAGAGCACCCTCCTTTGCAGAGCACGCTCCTTTGCAGAGCACGCTCCTTTGCAGAGCACGCTCCTCTGCATGCAGAGCACGCTTCTTTGCAGAGCACGCTCCTTTGCAGAGCACGCTCCTTTTGCAGAGCACGCTCTGCAGAGCACGCTTCTTTGCAGAGCACGCTCCTTTGCACGCTACTCTGCAGAGCACGCTCCTCTGCAGAGCACGCTTCTTTGCAGAGCACTCTCCTTTGCAGAGCACTCTCTCTGCAAAGTACGCTTCTTTGCAGAGCACGCTCCTTTGCAGAGCACGCTTCTTTGCAGAGCACGCTCCTTTGCAGAGCACGCTTCTTTGCAGAGCACGCTTCTTTGCAGAGCACGCTTCTTTGCAGTCTCCTTTGCGGGGATGGAGACGAGTCAGCTTCGGGCGCAAAGTCAAATATTTTCTGTTTGTGAAGACTAGCTGGTGAGTCAGCCTCGGGCGCGGTGAAGACAGAGCACTCTCCTTTGCAGAACACTCTCCTTTACAGAGCACGCTCCTCTGCAGAGCACGCTTCTTTGCAGAGCACGCTAGAGCACGCTCCTTTGCAGAGCACTCTCCTTTGCAGAGCACGCTCCTCTCAGAGCACGCTTCTTTGCAGAGCACTCTCCTTTGCAGAGCACTCTCTCTGCAGAGCACGCTTCTTTGCAGAGCACGCTTCTTTGCAGAGCACTCTCCTTTGCAGAGCACGCTTCTTTGCAGAGCACTCAGAGCTCCAGAGCACGCTTCTTTGCACAGCACTCTTCTGCAGAGCACGCTTCTTTGCAGAGCACTCTCCTTTGCAGAGCACGCTCCTTTGCAGAGCACGCTCCTTTGCAGAGCACGCTTCTTTGCAGAGCACGCTCCTTTGCAGAGCCCGCTTCTTTGCAGAGCACTCTTCTTTGCAGAGCACGCTCCTTTGCAGAGCACGCTTCTTTGCAGAGCACGCTCCTTTGCAGAGCACGCTCCTCTGCAGAGGACGCTTCTTTTGCACAGCACATCACGCAGGCGGCTCACCTCCTCCAAAGAGGCTCCCCGCCTCAGCGCATCGGCATCGACAGCGGCCTTCAGAGCAGAGGCCTCAGCTGCTCGCGGCGCTCCAGGATGTGGGTGGCCATTCTCTGAGCAAAAATCGGCTGCGGCGGCGGAAGAAACTACAGCGGACACTCGCGAGACGGTGGCTGCTTGAGCCGCGCCGTCGCCTGTGCGTGCTTAGTCGTGCTGGTGGTGATTGTTAAACATGCCGAGACTGCTGGAGCTGTTTTGCGGCACAAAGTCGATTAACCGAGCCTTCGAGGCGGCGGGCTGGGAAGTCGTCTCCCTGGACATCGTGTCGAAATTTGAGCCCACGATCCTGTGCGACATCCGGAGCTGGGACTACGAGCTGTTTCCGCCGGGGCACTTTGACATGGTCTGGGCCAGCCCGGTCTGCACGGAGTACAGTCGAGCTTGACGATGCGCCCTCGACGACTTGAGGAGGGCGACGCGCTGGTGCTCAGAGCCCTTGAGATCATGGCGCACTTCGACCCGCGTGTGGGTCATCGAGAATCCGGCCGCTGAAGACCCAACCGTTCATAGAGCGCCTGCCCTGGTGGACGTTACCCACTGCAAGTACGCAGGAAGCAGACCAGGCTGTGGACCAACATGCGCTGGAGGCCGAGCCGAGGGCTGTGCATGGGAAGACGGGAGGCGCT